TGCGGGGGAGGGGAGACATTAGAGTGTAAGCTCTTCTGTACAGAGACTGATGTGACTGTTGGGGGGAGGGGACACATTAGAGTGCAAAGCTCCTCTGTACAGAGACTGATGTGACTGTGGGGGAGGGGACATTAGAGTGTAAGCTCCTCTGTACAGAGACTGATGTGACTGTGGGGGAGGGGACATTAGAGTGTAAGCTCTGCAATATGTCAATAGCAGGTAATAATTAATTCTTCCACTGCCGTGGTCCTGCCGCAGAACGCATAGCGATCACTTCTTGGTATTCGAAACGCGCCAGCCTGGACGAAACTCTAAAAATAGTCATTATTAGCGGCGCAGCAAATTTATAGGGCCGGCGAGCGTCGAGGACGGCATCTTATTCTTGTGTTTTCAGCTGGAGCCCCCTGAGGCCGCGCACAAACACATTACGCCAGCACAGAAATAATACGGCGCATTTTGTGCCCGGCGTCCTGCGGCTGCCCCCGCTGTCCTCCCAGACACAGAGAATCCTTCATCCAGACACAAATTGGGCTTTCTATTAACCCCTCGGCTATACCCTCGCTGCTCCGCAATCCATCAGTTAATAAATAAGATTAGTTCAGAATAAGGTCAGGTCTTGGCGGCTCTGCATAGCCACAAATCTCCCGCTAAGGTGAGAAGAGGGATGTGCAGGCAAGGGGGGAACTCCGACTCTACAAATCCGCTCATTGTTCTCCGCATAAATTAAACCAGATTTTGTACCGGGGAAGAAAAAGTGACGAAAGCAAAACTTTGTTTACATAGAAACAGCGCCCCCGCCCAAATGTGCAGGACAGAAGGGGTACTGCAGACTACAGAGCACCACTAAACTGGAAATATACACGATATTACCAGAAGTATTGGGACACCTTTACACGCACATGAACTTTAATGGCATCCCAGTCTTACTCCGTAGGTTTCAGTATTGGGTTGGCTCCGCCCTTTGCCGCTATAACAGCTCCGCCTCTTCTGGGAAGGCGTCCACAAGGTTTAGGAGTGTGTCTGTGGGAATGTTGGACCATTTGTGAGGTCAGGTGCTGATGTTGGGGGAGGGGCTGGCAGTCTCCGCTCTAATTCATCCCAAAGGTGTTCTATGGGGTTGAGGTCAGGACTCTGTGCGGCCAGTCA